CCCCCCGGCCCCCTCTGGATCCGCCACTGCATAGAACGTTCTGTGACGTAGCTCCTCCCCCAAGGATACGTGGCACCTTGCACCATTAATATCGATATCGATAACGCTTCGTAATATGTTGCCTACGTTTATGTTGTTACTCCAACAGAGAGGCATAGTAGCACACGAGATTGCCCACGCGTTTGGTTTCTGGCACGAGCAAAGTAGAAGCGATAGGAATGATCATGTAATTGTTCATGTCGCGAACATCGAAGCCGGGCAAGAAGATCAATTTAAAGTACAAAACACAGACTGGCATGGTGTGCCTTATGATGTGGGTTCTATTATGCATTATGGGAAATATGTAAGTTGTCTTTATATCAAACTGAATACGTTTTATGATAATAATTTATTCAGCAATGTACAAATCAGCAAAGACCATAGTCTGTAATGAAATTCAAATGTAATGGCCAATGAATGATATGAAAAACGGGAAGCACGTATTTCATCTTGTCCCTTACAAGCAAAACAAACTCAAAAAATTCATCTAGATGTTTTAATGAGGTCAGGTATTTGTGGTCGTAATATATATATATATATATATATATATATATATATATATATATATATATATATATATATATATATATCAGTTTTTCTTGAGTGGGAAACTCGTGGCACTTCAATGCGATTATTTGTTGCGTATCTATGATCCACATACGAATGCAGTTTTTGATAGATACTCATCTTGTTCTCTACGAATACCAACGTGTCCGCCATGTTCAACATTTAGCTTTTGAGATCTCGTAGTAAACGGAAAACGTCTGTCTGTGTGGCATGCTTTCTGCTGACAACTTGTATTATTGACAGTCAGCTCAACGAGAAGTTATAATGATGTCGAGTTAGATACGCATATAATGTGTGACTTTTCATAATCAACAAAATTAGGATTTCAGCAAAAATGGTTTAGCTACAATCACTGCGAAAAACCCAGCTGATGAAGCCAAAATGGGTCAGCGTGATTACCTGAGTGCAGCCGATATTGAACTTGCTAATATAATTTATAATTGCCCAGCGGAAGAAGGTGAGTTTGGTTTCTTACTACCGGTAGATATTATATAACTAACTCGTACGTGATAGCATTACACGTACCCAGTAATATAAATCCTACTTATACATACCTTCATTTCTGGCGCTGTTGAATATTGGCACACAATATTACTTCACGAGTCCCAGTGGATACAACTACATCGCAGTTGGCAAGTTTTGGGAATAGGTGATTTTCCGTACAATTGCGAGATCTCGCGAGATG